TAGGGCGGCGTGTCTGCGGCCCTCCAGCGCCGGAGCTTCGGGGCCTGCGGACGGGCTGCGTGGACCCTTGCCGGCGTCCCCCGCTCCCCTGCGCCCAGGCCGGCTGCCGCGATTGAGTCCGAGCCCTAGCTCCCCGCACCAGAGCCCCACGGCGCGCCGGCGTCAGGCTGCGGGTATCCGACACAGCCCTCCCCGCCCCCCCTGCTCTGACCTGGCTGCGCCCACGTCTGGGGCTGGCCAGGCCCTTAGAGGCCGAAGGGAATGAAAACCCTGATTCTAGCATTCACCCCGACCGTGGGCAAGCCACTTCGCATCTGTGAACTGGGTAGTTATGTGATGGACTTAGATGGTGTTTATGCACCATGCCAGTCACTAGCTTCACAACTCCTTCATGAGGTGGGTACCCTTACTATCCCAATCTTCTCAGGGAAAAGGAGATCCATTGTCACAGTGCTGGCTTCATACTTAAGCCACCTGTCTCCAGATTCCACTTGAACTCCTGCACTCTGCTAACAGTGATAATCCTTACAAAGTGATGAAGTTAACGCACTTAGCACAGTGATTCTCAAACTTCAGCTTGCACTGAATTCACTGGGAGCGTGTATTAAAACACAACACTGTACCCCATTCTTGGAGTTTTTGATTCAGCACCTTGGTATAGAGCCAAAAACTGCATTTCTAACCAGTTTTTAGTGATGGTGATACTTATTAGAAGTGAGTGGCAGGAAAGCATTATTATCTGATTTCAGAGAACATTTACTGTTTCGTGGGGAGTGGATTAAAAGGAGACAAAGCCAGAAGATCAGTTAGATTTTTTTCATTTAACTCTATTCTATCTGCTTCATAAATTGTGGGATGACGTCCCCCAGAATGTTCACAGTGCTTGTCTTAAGAATTGAGGCAATGGGTGATTTTTTTCTCATAAGTATGTGAACAGAAGAAATCCAATGCATTTTATTAGCATTTAAAAAAATGCCCCTCAGAGTTGCTCTCGCTCCCCCCACCTCACGGTCTCCATGGAAGACTCAACCACTCTCAATATCTGTTAACTATCTACATTTCTAAACTTTCTCCTTCGCATCAAGCAGGGGGCTGGGAGGACTTCACAGGTGCTTCCAATTCAGCGCTACTGCTGTAGCCACTTCTTGCCACCATGGCTTCTTGGATACCCTTCTTTGGTGAATGGCATATGAGGCCAACCAGCTCAGAGGCTCTTGATTTCTCATCTTCTGCAAGCGTAGGCCTGTTCACTTATTCTTGTCCCTGCACCATACGCAAAGGCAAACACATAGTAGGCTCCCCATAATATTCAGTTTTTTAATGAATCATTTTTAATGAATATTTATTGAAGACTATAAATAAAATTCCTGCCAATCAACCATAAAAGACAACCATAAATAAAAAGTCCTGTCAGTCTTGCCTCCTAAGTAAGGTAATTCTGTTTTAGTTCTCCAGCGTCACAACTGGCTCCTGGTTCAGGCTATTTCTGTTTCTGCCTTTTAAATAGTCTTGCTTCCAGATCTTTACCCATCCAGTTTTTTCTCATTGTACCACCCAGAGTAACTTTTCTTTTTTTCCCCCCAGAATAGCTTTTCAAAAGGCAAAAGTTTTTTTGGTCAGTCTTTTATTTAAAATTCTTCCATGAGTCAAGGGAAAATTACATAAAATTACACAGGTAGCCATTAGATGAATTAAAATAATAGAAATATTAGGGTCAATTGAAGAAGGGAATACAGTGTAATACTTATTTTAATAGGAAGTCTGTAGAAATTATTTAAAATTAAGAAATAGTGGTAGAAGTCCATGTAGACTTAAAACATCAGGGGAAAAAAGAGATAAGAGTGCTTGCCTCTGGGGAGTGGAGTTAGCGGTGGCAAAGATAGAATCAAGGTAACTTTTTTGTTTTTAATTGTACATCCTTCTGGAATTACTTGGATTAAAAACCAAAATCAAGCCAGAAACAAAACAAAAGGTTTTCAGGATTTTCATTGCCTGTAGAATAAAGTCCAACTACCTTAGAACCATCTTTTATAACCTTGTTACTCAACAATGGGGTCCTTGGACCAATCCTATGATCATCAACCGGAAGCTTGTTAAAAATGCAGAATCGCAGGCCCTACCCTGGATTTACAGAATCATAACCTAGATTTTAAAAATTGCGGATAATACATATGCACAGTCAAGCTTAAGAAACATCAGCCTACAAGATCAAACATGATCTGGGTCCCATGTACCTCTTCAGCTTCAATATGGATTGCTCCTCTCTGGTCAGAAGAACTTTATATTCCTTTAGTCTAAATTTAGTGGCTACCAGGAGGGTATGTGTGCATAGTTAAATTCTAATCACTGTTTTAGACTCAGCTGCTCCACTCCAGGAAGCCTTCCAAAACTCTCTGTAGCCCTCCCTCATCAGTGTTTTTTAAACTCCCACTCCCTGTGAATGCTTAGCCTCCGTTCGGCAAAAAAATTTCTGGGCGCCTGATGGGCTAAACAGCCTAATTAGGCACAGTGTGAGCTCTGCTTGAGAGCTCGTTCAGGCGCAATCCAGAATTGCCCAGTCTCCAACGTCCGGTGGCCAAGATTTGTGTGCGCAACACTAGAGTATTTATATACACAAATATACGCCGTTGCGCGGCTTTTCTGAGCGTTACGGCACCGTCCTCCCGCCCCCGCGCCTCGCGGGCGGGGACCCACCGGTTCCGCTCAGTACTAGCCGGGAGACTGAAGGACCCCCGGCAACTGGACCCTGGCGACTGGTCGCCCAGCTCTGTCCAGGCATAAGCCCGCATGGAGGGGACTGTGGAGTCCCAGACGCCTGACCTTCGAGACGTGGAGGGCAAGGTGGGCAGGAAGACCCCCGAGGGGCTGCTGCGCGGACTGCGAGGCGAGTGGGAGTCGGGAACCTCTGGTGCCCTGCTGCCCCCAGGGGCGCCTAGCACAGGCCACGGCCTGGGGGACAAGATCATGGCGCTGAGGATGGAGCTGGTGAGTGTGGGGTCCCCTGACCAGGGGGACAGAGTCCCTAGCGGAGGGCCGGAAGGGACAGACTCACGCCCCCAGAGTTGAGCTGGACAGGAGGCAGCTGATACTCCCCACCTAACTTAGCAGGATCTCTCCCACCTCTGTCCTTAAACCTTGAGATCTATTAATTGCCCTCCTGGGTGAGTGGAGTGTTGAGGGATCCCGAAGACGTGGGGCACAAGCTCTTGGGAGTTTTTTTCTGCCAAATAATTGGAAAGGGGTAGAAAGGTGAAAACTGGAAAGCCCTGAGACCCAAGCACAGCACAAATCTCACACCTATCCCTTGGTGTCAGGCCACCTATTCTCCAGCCACGGTTAGAAAAAGATAAATCAGTTTGGTCTTCTCCTGCAAACTAGTCCCGGGGTTTGTACCTGTGACCTCAGTTTTTTATGGCAGGACTCTGCACAGAAGAGATATGAATGGAAACTAGGGCCACTAAAAACATCCTCTCTTTTGCCTATACCACTCCCCCTCAACCCCATTTAAAATATTTGAAAATTCCTAGAACCTTAGCTGACACCAAGGTCCTCCCCACCAGCCCTTCAGGTACATCATACACTGGCTATTTGGTTCTTATATGTACCTCCTGCATGTGATGAGGAGGAAACAGGCACACTCCTCTTGCCCTGTTGCTGCTGGTCTAGGAGAGCCAAAAAGGCAGTTGCCTGCCCCCCCTCCCTTCACCCTCTCCAGAACACCCAAGGCTCTGGTTCCGGTTAAGGGGGTGATTTACACCTGCTATCACTTTGCAGCCAGTTCTGGGGGACTGAGAAATTGCCAGCAGCTCTCTGGCCTAGGACCAGGAGACCACAATGAGTGTCAGCTTATAAGCCTCTCCCGACCCCCCACTGTGTACCTAGTTCTGTGCCAGCTTGAGCTATTGAGGGAGTGGGGGTGGTGGTCATGGATGCTCCCAGACAGCCTCAGAGGCTGTGAGGAGAGCCTTGTAGACTGAGCAACACAGGAAAGACCCCCTAGGAAAAAGGTTTGAATGCCATGTGTGCACTTGGCATTAAAGGTTGGAGGTGAATGCCAACTTCTCCAGAGCAGGACTGTGACTGCCCACCCAAGGGAAGGCTCTAGTTTTACCTCACTGTACAAACTTTAGCCCAAGGCCTAGAAAGAACCTATCTAGTTAGTTTGCCCTGCTTTGGAAACTTAGCTTTCACTAAGTGCACCTACCCGGCCCAGCACTTTACAAGATAGTTTCTTAATCTTCACAGCTACGCTATTAGATCACTGAGGCACAGAGAGTTATGTAATTGCCCAAAGTCATACAAAAAAACAAAAACAAACAAACAAACAAACAAAAAAACACCGACAGCCAGGCTTTGAGCCCAGATGGTCTGCCTACACTTTACATCTTTACCATTTGAGACCTGCTTTATGCCAGACACTTTCCAACACATTTTATGTCATTGACATGAGGAAAGCAGTAATCATTTTCCCCATCTTACAGATGAAACTCATTTGCAGGTGTTAAGGGGCTTACAGGAGCCCACACACATTGCCATTGAAGAAACCTTGCTTTGTTTCTGGCTCTCTTCCCTGCCTATAGTGGAGATCACCTGTTTGTGAACTTAAAGGGGGTATTTTTAATTTCTTACTACATCTGTCTGTGTACTTGAACTAACCTGACCTGGACTCTTAGGCTGCCTATGAAGAACATAGGGACCAGAACAGGGAGAAGCTCCCTCTGGAGCCGTTTCTTTCTCCGTCTTTGAGCCAGGTGTGTGTCCTTGATCTCTGTATGCACTCTGCTTTCCCCACTGGGTTGTACCTAGCAAGGACGAGGAGTAGAGCAGGGAATTCCCCTTGGAGCCACTTGTGATTGAGCTGGTCCAAACCTTGTAAATACAGTCCTGCAACTAACTGTCCCTTTCCCAGCTTACCTAGGGAAGTGGGCAGGCTGGCCCTTGAGACCAAGGTCATCCCTGACTCTAGGCGTATTCCTTGTTGCTTCCCTTACCTAGTTAAAAGGTTTAGTGATCCTGCCAGACTCTAATTTGTGGGAAGGGGAAACAATAGTATCCTCCCCTCTTTAATCCTCCTACCCAAATAGTTGCTAAGACAACAGATTGAGAAGAAACTTAAGGAAAGGAGGAAAAAAGCATGAGTTCAAGTTCAGGTTTTACTGTATCATTTTGTGCTATTGAGCATGACTCTCTCTTCTACTAGACTCAGTTTTTCTTTTTTTCTTTTAAGATTTATGTATGTATACAAGAACTGATGTATAGGTCAGAGTTGTGCGTGTAGGGAGTGGGTGGATGAGAGAATTCACCAGAGACGGCATGGGGAGCAGAACAGGTGGATCTACTGAAATATACTGCTGCTGGGAACAGTGGAAGAGACAGGAGAGGTCTGCTGCTCCAGTGGGTCACCTCCCTGGCCAGGAGATCCGGGGATCGAACTCCTGCTACAGTGGCTGCAGCTAGCTTCGCAGTGCTGCACTTTTACCCCTTGCACCGCCAGGAGGACCCTGGGCTCAGGGGTTTAGGGAAAGGGAGATTGTGATCTCTAAGAACCTTTCAAGTAGCAATAGTCTTGAATCTCAGTTCTCTACCAGGGAGCTAGGATTGGGACCTCTGGATTCTTACCTCAGGAACTGATTTGGATTGAGAGATGAGGGGTCCAGCAGAGAACCTGATGTATATGTGTTAGCGGGAAGAGTCAGGCACCTGAATCAACCTCAGGCAGTTGGGGTAGGTAAGCAACCTTCTAGGCTGTGTCTCTCCTGAGCTATTTATCCCTTTCCTATTTCCAAAGAGATGGTGTGAAATGAGTTGTTCCTTTTTTCTGACAAAAAAAAAAAAAAAAAAGCCTTGCTTTCTTCTATTCTGGGGTGTGATGCTTTCACAGTCAAGAAATCCCACTGTCACAGGACTACAGAACTTGGTTCTCAGATTCATTTCTATCATCATAGTAAACCCAAACCTCCTGAACCTTGGGACCAACGGTAGTAAAGGTAAGAGAATCACAGAACTGAATTTGACCCATCTAGTCCTTGGCACCAGACTGGAGTAGGGAAGGAGGAAGATAGAGCAATAATTCTAGTACAGCATGATGGGTGCTCTGGAACCCATGGTAGGGCTTCCTGGAAGTCTTTACAGAATGAAGCGGCCAGATCTGGAAAGGTCACTTTGCATTGTAGGGACACATGCTGTTTCTTCTGGCTAGCGTGCCTCTCTCTATGGGTCTGGCTAACTCCTACTTAACCTTCAAGTCTCAGCTCGTGCCTTTTTCCAGAAAGAATTTCTTTACCTCCCCTGGTTGGGTAATGACCCTGTATGTGTGCAGAGCCCTCTGTGTGACTGTTGTTTCTCTTAGCAATTGCCATACTGAATTTTTTTTTTTTTAAGATTTATTCATGAAGAACTGGGGTATGGGCCAGAAGTGCAGGGTTGGGGGGTGAGAGGATTCACCAGAGGAAGAGAAGGGAGCAGAACAGGCAGATCTACTGAAATGTACTGCTGAGGGGAGCAGCTGTGCCATGTGTGTCAGCTCTCAGGCTGGGGATCAAACTCATGCTGCAGGTGGCTGGCTATGGCATGAAGCACTGAGACTTCAAGCCCTGTGCCACCAGGGAGGCACCATACTGAATTTTAACTGCTAGTATTGTTTTATTTTACCCTAAGGGTGACAGATGGTATTTTTCTTTATTTAACACAATTCCATACCTATGAAAAATGCTTAATAAATATTGTTCTATGACTGAATTGATTAATCCCATCTTGAGGAAGAGCAGGAAGACTTCCTAGAGGAGGTCGCATTTGAGTTGGACCTTCAAGAATTTATAGTCTGAGGGAATTCCATTTCAATTGGCAGGTTGAACACGTGCTTTACCTCCAGTCCCTCTTGAAATTGTACTGAAAAGTCAACTGGATTATTTTAGAAGCATGAGCCCCTGATGACAACAAGGGTAGGAGAAAAGATATAGGAACACAATTTTGGAAGCTGAAAAAACAGAAGGAGGAGTAGAAACTAATTTAGTAGACCTGAAAAAAAGCTGAATTCCAAGTCAGCAGTGGGGAAAGCTGAAATCAGCAAACCATTTTATACTACAGGAATTAGAAGCAGCAGATTATTTCTGGGTCAGCTGAGAGTCTTCTTTGATTCCTCATCTTTCTCCTGTAATCAGTCTAGGCCTGTTACCTGCAGCACACACAATGGCTGGCACGTAATAGGCTCTACATAGTATTTATTGAAATCATCCATTTGCACTGGGGGAGTGCGAGTGAGGTAGAAAACAATAGGGTTGGTTATGTTTAAGAATCATAAGCCAAGAGCTAAGACAGTTGATCTCAAAAGTTTTCATCACAAGAAAAATTTGTAAATGTGATGGATGATAGCTAGAGTTACTGTGGTGATCATATACAATATGCAGTGATTATGTTTTATGCCTAAAACATGTTACATATCGAAAATACTGCAGTAAAAATAAAGGGAAAATTATCATCTAGTAAAAAATTGATTTCCAAATTTATCATTTTGGCAAGTGTTGAAAACATTTGAAGTTTTTAGCCCTTAGTGAAGAAAATAAACTTTTTATTAAAAAGTAATACTAAGAAGAGAAGCTCTAGTCTAGATGTAATTTACTAATTCTCTGTAGCTACTAGGCAACACAGAAAGCCATAATCAGAAAGTATATGTAATTTATAACCTTTTATAAAAACTCAGCAGCAACTAGGGCTTTTTCCTACTTTGAGAAGTAGCTGAGTGATTACCCATATTTTTTCTTAAAGATTTATTTATACATATAGAACTGGGGTATAGGCCAGAGGTGCAGGGGGTACGAGGATTCATCAGAGACAAAGTGGGGAGCAGAACAGACAGATGTACTAAAATGTACTGCTGAGGGAAGCAGTGGGCTGGTCAGGAGAGCGATGTGGGTCACCTCCCTGGCAGGGGTGGCTGGGATAGCTTCATAGTGTTGTGCTTTAGTCCTTGCATCACCGGGGAGGGC